TATCCTTTTAATTTTTCATTCTTTCTACCAAACGGACTGTAAAAGTGAACATGTGAGCAAAGAGTATCTATGAAAAGACCATGGTATAAAAAAAATTGATACCATATCTCTAATTTTTGTAATTATTTTTATAATTTTTTTGAGTATTTTTATAATTTTTTGAATATTTTTATGATTTTTATACTAATTTTTGCGATAAATCCTATCATTTTTAGGATCAATTGCAAGTTATTTTGTAATAAACTTATCCCAAAAAATTATAAAAATATTCATAAAAGTTTATAATTGCGGTATGATAATGATTTTTTTTCAGTAAAGTAGACTTCTTCCCTATCTTGATAAAATAATGTTATAGGAACTTAATTTGTAGCTAATTTAAGTATTTAACCATGAATGAAATTTAAAATAACTATTAGATTAATTGTGAATTTTAATTTTAATATACGTTTAGATGTATCTATATTAAATTTCATGATTTATATGACTATATCCATTCAATGGGGGTAAAAATTATGTTAAGCATTTGTTTGTTCTGTTTTTAGGACAGAGTTCAAAAATGGGTTAATTGGTGTCTCCTAATTAATGTTGTTGAAAAACTTCTCATCATACAATGGATATACACCGGTATAACTCGAGCAAATTGGACAAATTGAGTAGTAAATCGAACTTTAACTTAGGATATAAAATTCTCAATTTGAATTGAACCTCACTTATGTTTTTAACCCTAGTTTTCCTCGAATTGAGTAGACTAGGTATGCAAAATGTCAATGTGTTCATTCCCCTACTTCCATTATTTGCTCCGTCTAATGACAACGGCTCCAAAAAGCTTTCTTCCTACGGATGGTTTGTAAGAGTCGGTTCCAAATCCTTGGAACAAGTACAAGTTATTGCACATAATTTTTTTAATATACGTGATAGATTATTATTGTCATTTATTTCAATTATAAAAAAACATACACTTAGTGGAGAAAATAATAATAATAGTGATAATAGAGGGTAAGAATAACACGACTAATATTTTTAGAATTCTAATGACCCTTATTGACGTAATCATCTCTGACTTTTTTAATTTTTTAACCCACAACACTTTTTTACTGAGTTTTATTTAGCATGAAATATCAAGTGTGAAAAATAGAATTCAACGAAAACACTTTCTGTATTTCAAATCTCATTTCACAAAAGTACCTTCCGTTTCCATCTCATTCCATATCCCATGTAAATCATGAGTCTCAAGTGTCTCGACTGAGTCATCGTCTTAGAATTGGTCGAAATTTGTTTGCATGCTCAACCTTTTCTTCTACCTTGCTTTCATGTATATTACACGATATTAATTAATGTCGCGACCGATGCATGTCAATGTCGTCCGTATAACTGATACCGATATTTTAAATCAAGGAAGAAGATCAATTATAGTGGAGCATTAGTCAAATTCAGATAAAAAAAATTCAATAGGATTGAAGATATGTCTATTGTTTGAACAAAACCCAAAAGAATGGTTTGAAAATTATTGAACTTAACTGGGATTATTCACCTGAGAAAAGTCTCATTAGCTGCATTCAACTTGATCAAGTCAAGGCTGGCGGCCAAGTCCATAGCCTCTTTTTTTCCCCACTAAACAGTGTAGTTGTTAGACCTCTTTAATTCTGGTGCAATCCATTGCTTCCATTAGTATTTGACGTTTACACCAACGGATTTGAAGGGTCTATGCCTCCATTGACAAAGTTTTCTTATCAAAGTATATTTGAGACAAAGTTCAGTATGATTGATTGATTCCAACAATTATATGCCACTGAAATAGAAATAACGAGGATTGAGAAGCTCTCGGAGATGACTCAAAATCGAAGTAATTGAGATGGCCTCGGATATGACTCAAAATCGAAGTAACCCTTATTAAGTAGAAGAAAACAAATTCTCGTATGGGGCCCTCTGGATACAAAGTACAGTGCAAGGAGAAAGTGGATCCTCGGATGGAATAAGATGAGCTTCACTTGGTGAGAAATTCAAGACGTTTTGGCAATATTAACAAACAATTTAGTTGATGATTTAATGTTGTGAGAGAGTCAAAGTGTAATTTTTCCTATATTCCAATATCTATAATTTAAAATAGAACAAGTTTCAATAAGTCTATTCGACAGTCTCAAATAAATTTGTCCAACGACCACTAATATATCTTTTAAAATTATTTATATTGCATTGTACCTTCCGACAAAATTATCCTAATAAACACCATAAACTGGATCGACCCAACTTGGAGCTCCCCCATCATATGCTGTGGTTGCTTTGGATTTTTTTTTGGATATACTATATGTTTTTATTAAAAAGTTAGAAAGAAGCTGGAAAAATGGATTTTGTTAGCAGTTGGGACCAGGCTCAATGGCTCCAACCACCGCATTGTTTCCCAAACTACCGACAAACCCAAAGTCCAAAGGTATTCCATCTCACAAACCAGCCAAAATAAGTATTGGTAGTCTAGTTTTCAAGGGGCACCGCACTTATGTGAACAAAAAGAGGACCTACACAAGATTAGTTTCAACCACACGTGCTGGCCAAAGATCTCAGGTTCAGATTTGGATGTGGATTGAATATAAACTTAACTTCAAAAAAAAAAAGTTTCAGATCTAAAAATTCTAGCAATTCTCTTCGCCTGGCCGTGGAACTATGCAATGAGGGATAAAAAAATGGTCATGTTAATTACCGAAGGCAGCCAAGAAACCATGCATCACACAATTGTGAGGTGCCCTTTTGGAGTCCCAGTCTTGAACTATAAGATATGAAGAAGGGTTAGATGAATCGTGCAGTATCACGGATGTGAACAATACCAAATTAAATTATTCATGTTTGACGATATCTCAACTTATTTTACACTTTACATTTGGCCAAACGTCTAACTCATTAATCGTCTAACTTTCGTATTAAATTTGTGTTACGTCTTTAAAAATACCTCCCCCCCCAATATCCTGACTCCTCCCTGGTAATATAGACATGGCAATAAGTTTAAGGACTTGATTATTGTACCAAAGAAAAAAAAAATTGGTATTGTAGTTTCAAATTTTATTATTTTAATGGATATTTTTATAATAAAAATATTTGTCACTTTTGCAAACGTTTTTACCACTGTTGTAATTATTTTTATTATTTTTTTGATATAAAAAAAATATCATTTTTGTGAAAAATTTATCACATTTATGAATATTTTAAACATTATTATTAATAATATTTTTATTATATAATAATAATAATATTACTCAAATGTTATAAAAATGGGCAAGGTATAGACCATTCCTAAGTTTAATGGCATATTACGCCGACAGTTTTGTGTCGACCACGCCCATGGAATTGGACAAGGAAAAATACTGTTATTCCTTGTTTTCCAAAAAGGCTGGCATTGAAACCAGCAATCACACAGAATGAGGTGCTTTTCTGAAATATAAATGATGGACTTGACTACTATATCGAAAAAATAAATTCAGGATTATATCTTTAATTTTTTTTATTTTAATGGGTTTTTTTTATAATTTTATGTGTATTTTATAACCAAAAAATTTATAATTTTTGCGGATAATTTATTATTTTTATAAGTATATTTATCATTGTTATAAATATTTTTACCATATTTGTAATAATTATTTTTATCACTTGTCTTTGGTACAAAAAAAATATTATATTTATGAGTGTTCTTATTACATTTGTGAATATTTTTATCACTATTATGGTATCTATTTTTACGATTTTTTGAACACCACAACAATAATAAAAAGAACCACAATGTGGTAGAAGTGGCTACAAATATGATAAATAGAGATAGAATACCAATTTTTATTTTTATTTTTGTTTTTTTGTGTCATAGTCAAATCATTAAATGATATTTGACTGTCATTTAGCAAAAGTATTATAGCAACTCCAACCAGTTATCCAAAATAGTTTTCTAAAATATATTTAAATATTATATTATCTATTTTAATTAGACATTTTTATAAATTCATTTCAATCATACTTTCTATTATAATTAATTATTTCAACTAATTTTAACTAACTTTTAATAATATAATTAAAAATTATATTTTAACAACCATCCACCTCAAATTATATTTTAACACCTATCGTAGATAAATCCGTTTCTATCAACAGAGCCAATTCACTGTTTCTATCAACACCTAATTTGTGATCGACAATTCATAAAACAGATATAAATTGATATGAACTCGGTGAATTCAATCCCCAATAAACCCAATGAAGAAGATGACACAGTTTATTGAAAAGTTCACTTTCTCTCACCTGTTCTACAACGTTTCCTGCTTGTGAAACAACACCCAGAGTGGCCAGAGCTAATTGCCATACAGCAGTGAAACCAACCACAAATCCATACACAAATGTTGCCATATAGTGCGGGTTGATTTCAGAGAGAAGGTAACAATCGAAGAAAAGGTCGATTTTTTGGTGGGTTTTTTGGTAGGTTTTTCGGTGGATTTTTTGGTAGATAGAGACAGATAAAGCTGGAGTGAGAGAACTCCATGCCTGGACTGGACGAAGAACTTTCTGGCTAGTTGAGGAAGACAACGACGAAGGAGGCTGAAAATGGGAACTTTAGTGGAGTGAAGACAGAGCGAAGAAATTGACGCAAACAACCTCAATAGCGAGTTTCTGTAGCTCGCCAGGAATAACTAATGAAATGAAGGTTATGAAAAATGGCTAGTCAGATAGCTAATCCGTTGGTGAGAAAATTTTAAATTTACCTCTTCAAAATAGCTAAGAATGAGATTTTATTAAGACCCTTAGAGTTGCTCTTAAAGCAGAAAACTATAGCTCGATGGACCATGTCACAATGATATGAGTGACAGAGTCTGAAATGTCCATTACGAAAAGTTTACAACAAATGAAAGTTGAATTCTTATAAGTGAATTTACCCAAAAATATTGAATTATTATGAAAGGTGCGATGAATCTTCAAAATGAGAAGCATATCTAATAACAATAATAAAAAGCTGGGGCACTTAATACGCCTTAACTTTTGATTTATTAACATGAGAAACAAGCATAAAAAAAATAAGATAAAAAAATGTCGTTAAAAAAACAGATCCTTAATAATCTCCTCAAGTAGATAACAATATCTAATTTAATTCAATCCAATCCAATCCAATCCATATCCACATTAATCAAATATTCAAATATGCGGGGCTTATCTAAAAAAACCTGACAAACCCGCTTAGGAAACCCCAATAATAGTTGAATATTTACATCTAAAAAGTAAAAAGAAAAATCTAAAATTCTAAAATTTGGAGCTGCTTTCCTACTCCATCAGCAGATCTCCAAACAAGCTAGAATCAACACACCTTTAGGCCATCAACATTGCTTTCTCTTCCTTAAGTACCATCTTACTGTTTGCTTTTCCCAAATTACCAGATACATCTGTTATGCCTTTTGGCACCAAATCTGATGAATTTATTGAGATCTGGCCAATTGAGGCTAAACCCAATAGCTCAGATTCATCAAGTCCTTTGGCTGGACCAAGACTACATCGATCACTCCCATACTTTGCCAATGCATCTTTGAATTTCTTGATCTGCATAATAAAAAACTGGTCTTATAGGAAGTTCGAAATTAATTTTGAATGATATAATAAAAAATAGCATGATAGTTTAAAGTAACAAAAAATATCATTTTCAATTCTTACAGTTGTATTGGTGCAGCTGAAGCTACACAACTTGCCCTCTGCACCCCTATAGAATCTGAAGAATGGTAGGACATGGATGTGAAGAGTATAGCACATGGTTTTGAGTTCTTCATAATTAACCTTGAGAATAATTGCATTTGGGTTTGATTCAGCCAGCTGACAGATCTGATAACAGAGAAATAATTAGAGAGAGATTATTCATAAAACACCAAAAGGATACAAATTTAAAGTGTTCACCAATTAAAATATAAGTCAAAACAATGATGGGTCTCTCTAGTATTTAATATGAGTTGCAGACATATTGGTAAAGTACCTTAGGGTGCAAAGCTTTGCAGCCTCCACAACCAGGGGAATAGAAGTCAACTATGACCAATTTGTCCCCAGCATTCAACAATGAATCAATGAGTTCTTGTGCTGAATGAATCTCTGTCATGTTGGGTACAAGAGTCTTTTCCCACCATCTCATAGCCCTGCTAACACAAAAGGATGTCTGTGCCTAAAATCATAAACAGAGAATTAGTTCCGAACCAAAGATGCACTCATCTCACACACACACACAGAGTTGTCACAAAAAGGTAAAGAGCAGAGGGGAAAAACTACCATACATGAACAGAGGAATATGTTGAAGCCTTGACCTTCCATTTGCTTAAACTCTGATCTAATACATGTAGAGGTTCACTCATGAAATCTTTTGATCTGCGTTCAGCCATACTAGTTGGAGGGAAAAACCCTATATTCCCCTTTGTTCTGGAATTGAGAAGGGTCTCATTTGACCCAGAGACAGAGAAATTAACCTTCAAAGCACAAGCCATGGTATTCAACCTTTCAAGCCAACAATAGCATCCAAAAAGAAATACCCACCAAATCTCACCTACCGTCTGGATCAAAAACCAGTTTTTCGAATCACAAGAGAGAAAAAAGAGGTAGAGAGCAAAAGCCCTTTATTTTCTTATGGTAATCAAGACAAAAAAAAGGTTTGGAAACTCGCGCAACAAATATCTAAGCAAGACCCACTTGTTTTGCTTTCTATGAAACAAAATGCTGTGTTGTTTTGAATATATCACGAGAGAGAGAGAGAGAGAGAGAGAGAGAGAGAGAGAGAGAGAGAGAGAGCGAGAGCGAGAGAGAGAGAGAGAGAGGCTGTGTTGTTTTGGAGCTTCAACGGAAGGGAAGAAGACAAGAATGAAAATGCAAAATGTGGGACTAATGAAGGTGAAGGGGAAGGGGAGGTGGAGGAAGGGAAAGGGAAAGGTGGAAGGGTTGCGTGGGGTCAATGATCCAGATTTGTATTAAGTCTATCCAAAATTAGTGATATTTATTATCCTTATTGTTTGGATAGGGATGTGATATTCATATTCACCTTTTGTTTTCCTGTATTTTATTTTTTATTTTATATAAAAAAAAAAGATAATATTATTTAAATTTAATTTAGTGACCTCATAATAACCTAGATCAAAATATTAACAATTTATTTGACAATCTTATTTAATTGGTAAAATAGTTTTTCTGTATCACAGAATTATTAGTTACTCATTGGATTTATTCAGGATATTTTCTTTTAAATTTAATTAATAAATAAAATTTAAATAATATTATTCAATAAAAAAATACTTTTAAAATTTATGTAAATATTAAAAGAAATGGATGGTGTGGAGTTAAAGATAAAGAGATATGAATACTGTCTGATGTGAATCTGAGAGGATTGGGGCTTGTTTATAGGATTTTGTGCTGTGTGTTTTTTGTGGTTAGTGTTTAGCGGGGATACGACTCTATCCATTGGCCTTATTATCTGACGTATCTTATCCGGGGACAATTTCATTTACACCCTCTGTAGAATACTTTATTTTCAAGTACACTCTTTGTATTATTTAAAATTTCACTAATATCCCCTGTAAGAGTTTGTCAACCGATAGAGGTAATAAAAAATATTATTTTACCAGATTAACCCTCACTATCTCACATAATATCCACTTGCTATTTAATGCATATATATAAATATAGAAAAATATAAAATATACAACACAATAAATATATTTTATATAATACAAAATACATTAAATATATAATATATGTATATATCAAGGACAGAGCTCCCTTATGGCCAAAGGCCCCAAGCCCCACTAGACTTTGAAATCCTCTTATATGTACTATACAACTCTTTAATTGCATGATTCATCGCCAACACTTAAAAGTCTCGACAAATTATTCCTTTTTAATAAATAACATATTATCTTGTTGTTTGAGTTATAAGTTTGATTGTGTGACCCATCGATATGATTTTTCGGTTGTGAGCATCATCAAAATTAGGCATTGTAAAAAAATTTAGTAATAATTTTATCTCAAACACAAAAATTATGTACTTAAAAAAATTGTTGAAAGGTTTAATACAAATTTAGTCATAAATAAATGTCGTGGTATAAAAAATATCGAGTTCCACTTTGATAAATAATTAAGTGGATATGTATTAAAAAAACATTTTTTTGTTCATTTCTTTAATATCTTTATTTATATTGGATTTTTTTCCTATTAAAAATGGAATTTAAAAAAAGTAAATATAATTTATGATGTTGGTCAGAATATTTCTTCATAAGATTTTGCCCTCCTAATACTAAATCCTAGTTTCATCCTCAATATATATTACTACAAAATGGATATAAATTGTTATAAACAGGGACAGAGTAAGAAATCTTTTGTCGTTGGGACAAATTTAAATTAGTAAGAGCATAAAACGATAATGTTAACATTATTTATTCTAATACTAATTTTTTATTTACCAAGTTATCCATGACTCATTTAACAATTGAATTGTTTAGCTTGACTCAAACTCAATATTTCAATATTTAGTTTTTAACAAACTTTCAATTAAAAAAAACAAAATGTTTTTAACAAACAACTTATATGGATCATAAATATTCAAAATAATTATGACAAATTTTAATAGGAAAAATTGGTACATATAACTCTCCTATTTTTTGTTAATAATCTATCACCACCTATGGCTGATAGGTTTGGTTGTGAAAAAATGGCTTTTAGTGCACGATAAAATCAATAAATAAGTTGGATTAGTTTTAAGACGGTTAACATACTTAATTATATAAGTTATTTTAGAATTGATTAATACTTGACATGCACTCGAAGTTCGCCCACATGACTCAAATGTCACCTCTAATTGCAAAAGGAAGAGAAGAATTGAAAATTAAAAAAAGTTGTATGAGAAGTTAATGTCTAATTGTTAAATCTTTTCAAATCGATCCAAAGTTTTTAAAAATTGTAGTGCCCCATGCTAGATTCGCCGCCCTTTGGTTATAGACAATATATTAGTATAAGTTTATATATTGCTAACAAGATATATTTGATAATATAAAATATATACTTTCTTAAAAAAATACATAATCTATAAAACATATGCTAACTACACAAAATCACACACACATATAGAGAATTGGACAGATGTGGTAAGTTTATTGTTAGATCTTGAAATGAAGGATAAAATTGATATTTTGTAAAAAAATTGGTATAACGATTTCTGTTTCGTTTGTCAGTTACGTCAATTAATGGTAAATAGTGCGAATGAAACAAACATATTAATTATGAGGGCGTAAAGTGAAATTTCAAGTAATGTAGTAGATGTCATTAAAGATAGCATATATTTTACAGGGGTGTGGATAAAATTTTTATAAATTGTACGATTCTGGGATTCTTTTTGATTGGTGGAGATGACTCATCTAACCGATTAAGAGATTGGCAGTTAGCCACTGTTGTTTCACCGCGTCGTTGAGTGAGTCGGCATTGACTGAGTCTGGCAGTTGGAAAGTAGATAAGGACGCCCACTCCTAGGAACCACAAAATCAACAGAGTCTGACAGTTGGAGAGTAGCTAAGGGCGCCCACTCCTAGGAACAACAAAATACAGATTGGATGAAGAATTTGGTTACCCCCTTTTCTACGTTTTTTTTCTTTTCCTCTTAATTCTGAGAAAATATTCGTCGCATCAGTGTAATCCTATTATCACTGTGACATAGTGTTATCATTCATTTAGAAGATAACAAATAAAATATGTGAATCTCACTAATCTTATGTGTTACTAATTAGATATTATGATTAGAGCATCTTTAATCATGACTCAATTTTTATTCAAATTTAAATTAATATTTGAATAAAAAATTTGATTTGATATAAAAGACTCTAATTGACAAATTCAAATTTAAAAAAAAAAAACTCAAATTTAAATGAGGACAAATCTAAATTCAAAAAAAAATAAGAATGACTATTAGATCTTTAAAAGATAGTGAAATCTCACAATTAAAGATTTAAATAAATATTTGAATTTTCCTTGAGTTGAGTAAAAAAATGAGTTTCTCTTAATTTGGAATAAGTTTTAGTTAAGGGTTTGGGCAATTTTTTAAGATTTTTTTACTCAAATTTAAATTTGAGTCTAAATTTGAGTAAGGGTTGGAGATGCCCTTACCGGCAAAGGCGGCCCAACACAAATAAGGGCTTAAAGCGAGAAAATATTTTATAAAAATTTATGGTATGATTTATTTTCAAAATTTTAGTAATTTTGGGATCAAGCAAGATCAAACAATAAATTAAGTGTAATTGTGAAGTCAAAATCTCACAGATGAATAAATTGAATAAAGTATTAAAAAAATAACAATATAGCTAAAGATACAAACAAAAAATCAGAGCAAGGCAATGAGATTGAAAATGAGAGAAAAAGTTGGAGAGAAGCGGTGAGAATGGAGGAAAAATAAATGAAAATAATTTGAGAAAAATTGCTACTTTTAAAGTAATGAGTCATTAATTTTAGATTTTTTAAGAAATTTTTGTTATATTTTAGAACTTTCTGTAAAGATTTTCATAGACTTGTGAAAATATTGTTACATTTTAGAGTTTTCTATAACACTTTAGACAGACTTGTGAAAGTATATTTGACATTTAACTTGGTCCTTTCAAAAGGGCCTCAAAACTTGAAGATAAACAAATGGTTGGAAATTAAATTGGATCTCTAAATTTTTTTAGACTCTAAGCGACTATTTTAATGGTTGAGACCCTAGGGCCGACCTTGTTGTACCTCCTCTTATTTAAAAAATTGAAGTATCTGTGCATCTCACAACAATTGTAGACTTTCCTCATCCCTCATTGTCAAGACTTTATCTATGAAACTGATTAAGTGAAACAAATTAATAATTGGATGATGAGCAAAGATTAAAAGTAATATAATATTATTTTATATTTTATGTATTTTTTCATTAACTGTTATAAGATACTATTACAATAAAGATGTTCAATATTATAATGTGGTGTCACATAATTTTTCTTTTTTAATAATTTGGACATCTAATATATATTAAATATTATTGAAATTTTTTTTATATTAACTAGTTTTTATTGTGGATCTTTTATGAGAATAAACAATTTAATTATTTGGTATTGTTGTGTTTAAATGAAAATAAAATTGAATTTAATAAATGGTATTGTTTTGGAAGAGAGATATTTATTATACTTTTTTATCGAAGTGTTAATCTTTTTTTGTCCTTTAATAAATGTGTATATGTGAGGTGGACTGCACTTTTGGACGTAAATTTTAAATTTTATTTTTTGACGTAATCTTCCAAGAGTTTTTTTGTTAAGCTAAATTATAATGAATTTTAATATTTAATATATACTTTATTATTGAACTCTAAAATTTTTAGGCATTTTTTTATACGGGAGGCCTAAAGCCCATACTTTTTTGGCTCTATTGTTGAGCCGACCTTGGTTGTTGGTAGCTATAAAAATATTAGGATTCACTTTCTCTATTTTTAATTTTTTAATTAGATGGTGACATCACGATATAGTGATGATATAGTGTCACCGTTAAATTGAATATTTACTCCTTAATTCCATTCATCAATGGAAGCATCCATTTGAAGGGTCTGGAAATTGATGTAATGGTAAAGTTACTCTAGTCTAATTTGAGAGTGTAGTGTGTGAGTTATAAAAATAGTTTATGGTTTTGCAAAATAAGTGATTGTTCGCATTTAAGGTTTCTTATACCTTAGAGTGCTGAAAATCTAAATAAATGGAATATCTTCGTGTAAAAGCAATAATACTCCAGACTGCTCAAAAAACAATTCGACACATGCAAGAGTGAGAGGGGAGCATCTTCAACAGTATTCTTTATTTTAGAAAATATTTTTTTTAAAAATATAGTATTTATCATAAAAATTTTAAAATAGAGAGTAAAATTTTTTAAACAATTCTAATGAAATCTCTATTCTAATAACAAAATCTATATAATAAAATAGGAGTGTGTTTGAATTTTATCCTAATCATATTTTTTCCCTTAAAATCATCATCAATTACTTACCTCACTCATCATTCCTTTGTCAGACTCAAACGTCAAATCAAAAAACTTATTTCTATCACATATTTTATTATTTATATATTTCATCCCTAAAGATATCACACCACTCATTTCTATCATATATTTAATTATTTAATATTTAATTAATTTATAGTTAATATATTTTGAAAAAATTTAGTATAGTGGGAACGAATTTTTGTACGCTCGAATTTTATATTTTATATTTTATCGTGCCTTCAGGCACCGGTTATAACTAGTAGTCTTATAAAATAGCATTTAATGAAGAATATGTATGTGTCATTTTTTTCATTCATTAAAAATACATTAGAGGATGAATTAGACTCTAAAAAGTGAGAAAATATTCGTCACAACGTCATACCACATGACAATGTGATGTGATATTACTAATCAATAATATTAAAATAAATATGTAAATAGACCCCACAAAAAATAATAACTAATCTGTCAAATAAGCAAATAACTCTCTACTCTTCTTCTGCGTAAGCTCAAGTGAAGTTTACTTTGTTCATTTAAAATTTTATTATTGATTGGTGATATGATATCATCAATAGAGATATGGAATCACCAAACTCTCTATTTTACCTAGCCACTCCAACAGTGCTCTCTATTTTAGAGGGTGTTTTTATAAAATAAAGTGCATCTTTAGTAAAAAAATTATAATAAAAAGTAAATTTTTACGCACCACTTCATTGGGATTCTCAATTTTTATCATTTTATCGTTTTGTCTTTTTTTTTGGGGAATAAATTTAGCTTCCCGCGCCCATATCTCTTCAATCATGTTCAAAACTTCAACAGCTTCGGCATGTGCCAGCTCCCTACTTATTTTTCTCTTCATTTATGTACCTTTGCATTCTAGTGATGTTTCTCAAAACTAAAATCAGTATCAATGGAGTATCAAGTAGCAAGAGAAACAACTTGAAGTAATTAATTTAATATTTCTATCTTGATATTGTGCTTGTGTAGTTTGATCATAATCAACTTCTTCGGAGTAATAGCATTGGGAGTTTCAAATGGAATTTTGGATGAAAAAAATGATATATTTTTATACTAAATATCTTGCACGAAAAGACAAATATATCTTTTTTTTTTATTTCAAAAACAAATATAGTATAGAGTGATTTTAACTCATCAAATTAGACTTTTTATTTTAGAGAGCCTAAAATAAGGAGTCTATTAGAAATGAAAGTTTAGCAGTTGACTATTTGAAATAGAGAATTGAATTGCCGGATGACCCATGAACCAATGGGCTAATCCATCTGTTACAACTCATTAACACGACACTAGAGAGAGTTTCTCAAAGTTATCAACTTGCTTAATTTCTAGCACCATATAAAAGCATCTAAAATTTGGATGGTATTTACAAGCACAGCTTTCATGGCACAATGCATGTTGTTTGTAAAAAAAAAAATGGAGGAACATGCAGAATTACTTCACAAGCTCTTCTTCTTTCTTGCTGGCTTCGTCCAGCTCTCGGAGCCCTGCAACCTTCTGCTCAATCTCCTCAATCAGCTCCTCACGCCATAGCTCTGCTCTTGCTGATTCTTCAATGTCTTCTTGCTGCACAAACATATACACACACATTCGGTATTTTGACAGGTACTAATTGTGGTTGTGGTTAAACTTTTAAAAAAAATTGTTGGGCAAATTGTATTTTGCCCCCTAAAACAGTTAAGATTCCCACTTTGTATCTTCAAAGATTAAATTTTTCATATTGCATCTTCAATGTATCAAAAGTGTTATAATGTGACCCTTCTGTTGACTTTCTGTTAGTTTTTTCGTTAATGTCAATGGGTTGACTTTTGATAAAAAAAATAATATAAAATAACAAAAAGATTACATTGCAACACTTTTAATATACTGAGGGTGTAATGTAAGAGTGTAAAGTTTAAAAAGCCCTAAATTGTTTAAAAAAGATGGTCTGAACTTGAAAAAGTCCAATGTGAAGATGATGAGATGAGAAATTTGTATGGTCAAGTTTATTGAAGATGGTAAACTTGTCATGAACAAAGGCAAATTGAACTGTATGTTTGTGTAAAATCTTAGGGAAATCTTAAGACTTTGAAGCTGTCAAACTATGTGTCCTCCCCTCAAAGATCGCATTTCTCACTTACGCCGCTAATTATAATTATTGCATTCAACACCCTCGATTGTTATGTTCCTCAAATTGTGCCTCCAAGTATGTTCCTCACATTACTAGCCCAATCGAAAACACTAAAAACGTATATTTTATTATACATTTTGACATTTAAATATGTTGGAGGTTTGATTTTAGGCCAATGTAACACAAGTAATTAAGGGGGCAACGTGATAAATACTATATTTGGACTAGCAGTATGATAAATACTATATTTGAACGAGCAATGTGATAAATGCGATAGTTGAAAAGGCAAAATGATATCGGTGACATAATTTAAGGGGTCAAAGTACAAAATATTTCCCAAAGCATGTGGGAAGACTTGAGCCAATCAAACTCTACACAAAACTAGTATTCTTCCATTTTTTCAATTTAGAAAGTGTTGTTGATCCTAGAAGAAGGTTAGACTTGACGACTATTGATCCTTATGGAGTGCGATATCCTGTCTCGTCACAAAAATCGATTCCCTAATCATTAATGATTACGCCTTCCATTCAATGGCTTAGAACTCCATTTGAAAAAAGAGTGGGTATAGCTTTTCATTGGAGAGTGTTTTCAGAAGACTATTATTTGTTGGAAGAATTTCTGGTGGTTTTAACAACTGCATTAATATGTTGGATCCCCAACAAATAAACAAAATTCTCTCAAAAATGACAAAGCAAGCAGCAGAAATGTACCTTCTCATAGACCCAATGCCCAGTACCATCTCCACCATCTTTTCTATAATGTTCTGAATCATAGTATGGATCCTGCACCATATTCATTATTTTTATCAAAAACTAGCTATTACCACATATGTCAAAAGGGACATCATAGAAAAATTCTTACTTTCATGGCACCAAAAAAACAGCATCCCCAACATGTGAACATAATGTACAGAGTATCTACAAAAATGTAAGGAAGATGTAAATGAAAAAATGATCAAAGAAAAGAGAACAAAAAACAAATACAAATCATATATAGATTTGATGAAAACTCCAAGCATATCAATTTTAAGACTGGGGAACGACTACCTTATTAATTTCCGTATCGAAAGTTGCTGCAAGATAAGGATGAGATTATGATTCAATATTGTGGATTATGACTCAATTTGGGTTATATTACTACTCCCAAAAAAGTGAGTTAAGGCTAAAAAATATTAGGATCGAACCTAAATGTTGAAATAGACCGATAGATGTCAAACGATCCTAGTTTGTTATAACCTAGTCCAATTGAGTCGTAACTTTACCCTTATTTTTGTGACAATTTTTAATACCATGTCAAAAAATAACCTTATGGTGTCATAGTCTCTCCTTTGATACAGATGCGGAAAGGAAGAAAATGAGTGATATATCATTTACTCACAGACATTCTTTATGCTTTGATCACTAAGGTGCCAGACAGACTTGTGGGTGATGAGGTCCCTTTGCCCTTCAATATGCTCTACTAGTACTGCCATCAGTGGCCAATCTGGTAAAGCCTTCACTTTGCCCAAAGAAGTCCTATTCTTCTTGCCACCATCAATCTACCACAAATGATTCATCTGATCAACTATAAAGACAAACCAAACACCCAAAAATAATTCTTTTTATACAACACTGGAAAATCATCCGGACTTATAAATTCTGATTTGATTTATAGGCAGACATTTATTGCGAAAAGAATAAAATAATAAAAAATATAAATTTTACACGTATCACGCTCTAATTAGAGAAAAAGAAGTTTTGAATCAAAGAGTGGCTTTCCATACTCTATTGTGGTCTAAATCTAGAAGTCTAACATGCAATACAGTTCACTTAATCAGAAAGGGGGCTTCTAGTTACCTGTTGCCAGCCATTAGTAAATCTAGAGCTTGAAAAATATTGCTTAACCTGCAAACAACAGACACAGAGAAAGAGAGAGGTTCTCACTAGGAATAACATAAAATATGCAGAAATTTGAAAATTTGTGGGAATGAAAGGCAATTCTTACTGATTTGGTCAATGGGTTTAAGCCTGCTTTTGATGTTTGAACATAGCTGTGGATATGTGGTTTGATAACAGTGAAACTCATTAAAGCTTCAGCCATTTCGATGAATTATTATTGGAGAAGATGTATTTTAGAATGTGGGTGTACTTTCATTTCTTATTTTGTTTAAGATGGAGAGAAATTTAGGATAAGGGAACCATTTGTATCCACCCTTCCAATAAGGGATATGGGTGAATACTCCATTCATCCTCTGGATTGGTCGTGACCATTGGATACCCTCAAGGTTGATCTTGACCGTTCAAATCCTAGAAAAACTTCCCAAAAGCCTACACTGAAATTTGTTTAAAAAATTGTTTTTTGAACGTAATTCAATGCGATCATCAGATTGTAAGTGGGTTACACTAACATTAGAACTATGTATTGTATTTAGGTTTCTAAATTATATATAACTTTTCGGCCTTATGAGGACAAGTGGCCTATTAGCTCAGCTGGTTAGAGCGTCGTGCTAATAACGCGAAGGTCGCAGGTTCGAGACCTGCATGGGCCAAGGAAACTTTAGTTTTGTTTTGTGTTATGTATTGCGTGCCGGCTGGTTTTCTTGCAAAATATCAGGGCTTTCTCTTGCTTGGAAGGGAAGGTTATTGTTTAATTATTTTCTTTTACCCTCTTAAGTATTTTCAGCACCTGGCCAGACTCCACTTATAATGGATCTTTTATAGCTTTCTATTTTGATAAAATGTTAGCCCTCAAACTGGTCCATCTGTTATTTGTCTTAGGTCTAGATAGACTTAGAATAATTTAACCCTTCTCACTAACTACATATACTATTTATCGTGTTTGTTAGTATTTCCTCTTGAACCCCTGTGTTCAATTGATTAGGCAATTTTTTTGATCGAAAATGGATGATGGTAGTTACCCTCCTCCCCCTCTTGAAACTTACGCGCACGTTTCCATTTTACATTGTCGTGCATTTTTCATAGACTTTACAAATTTTTTTAAGGTTCTTTGATAAAACTCATATATTAGGTATACATTGTAAATCTATGACATACTCCTACCTTACTATGGTGGCGTAGCCTCTCACAACCCTTAACTTATTATTCGACCCCCACAAATAACCATAGATGTCTGGCTGGGCCACCCATTGACCATTAAACTGTTGCGTAAAGAATATGAATCATTCATTATAGTCTATTACAAATTAAAAAATATATATATAAAAGTTGATGAACAAATCTGTCCAACTCGACACACCACCTCGTGTACCATGTGGTACAATCACAATTATTGAATATTCAATAAAGTTAATGAGGTTCATATTGGCTTAATGAACGATATCAATGGCTTAATGATAATGTGAAAGCAAATAGAAGCTAAAGTCCAAGATTGCAGGAAATGGAACAGAAGTAAAGTCTTTACTTGAACTGAATCATGGTAAATAGGAAAAATTTAAGGTACCGATCAGGTACCATAACTGAAAAATGGGAAATAAATTATGACCCAATAAGATCAAAGTTATAATTAAACAAGGTTGAAAAGTTTAAGATCGAATGTAGAGAACATGGGAAGAATCTTAAAATTGCAAAATCAATCCTAAATTTTTTTAGATTATTTCTACACAGCAAAGTACCATAGGAAATCGCTAAGAGAACTCTAAGGAATAATTCAAGTGATAATAAGGACGAACTGTAAATTCAGACGTCTTGAATTTGAATCTTGACAATCTCTTGGAGTCAGGTTGTAGGAAATTTATCTCTTATGAATATTTTAATCTTGACGTAGATTATCTGTCTTTAACTAAACCGGATAATAGATTAATCAAAGTACACATAAGTTGACATAAATACATGTTAAACTAAAAGAAAAATAATCCCTAAGACATCAGATTCGTCCAAAGCACGAAAAAGGTTTTAAATATTGTATTGGGAACAATTTCGTGCCCATAAAGTTGCTATTGGAGCCAGCCATGGTGACATATTTGGCGTGGTTTGGACTTCTGTTTAGTTTTTGCATGTGAGGAAGACAAAAAGTAGTTGTTAAAGATGATATTAAACCACAATTCTTGTACTATAAGGTGAAAATTTGTTTAATTAGCAAAGTCTATGGTACAAGTAACTGACTCTTGACGAAAATCCTTCTCCCATTGTTGACGAAAATCCTTCTCCCATTGTAGTTATTGATGGGTCAAGACCAAATGACCCAATCCATGAGAAAAAGTCCAAGCTTATAGAAGACCAACTAAGCCCTATGAGATCCAAGACAGTCAAGCCCATCAGGGAGCTACGGGAGCATCCAGGAGCTATACCTTTGCCCGTTGAGGAAGAAGAGAGGTCGTCAAGGAGAAGAGAGGTCACCAAGAAGAGAAGAGGTCATCAGCTATTAAGATGCCTCCAGTCCGTTATAACCGTCAAGCTACTCAATTACTACACAGGCTTCTATAAATTGTAAGCTCCCCCAACACTTTGGGGGCATTTCAAAAAATCAAGCTCATCTCTTCTCTCTTGTAATTCTCTGTTCTCCCAACACACCAGAGCTAATAAACTTTTCGACGAACTTAGCCATTAAAAGTGAACGTAGGTTTTGTTGACCGAACCACTATAACCTTGTTTCTTCTCTCCACCTACTTATTTTATTGCATTTTATTCTATTTACCTAATTAGTGGTGTGCAAACCAATTTGTGCATCATTAGTTTGACACTGTCTGTGGGAATGACAAAGTTCTCACTTAAACATTGTCTTTGCTGAATCAAAGGCGGTCACCACCAGGTCCATGAATCAGCCTGAAGACATTCCACCACTAGAGGAGGATGTTACTCCTCCACCCAATCCAGTCCCAAATGCGCAGCAGATGCTAGAGACCATACAACAGCTCATACCCCAAAACCAACAAATTCTAAAATTGATACTTGGGCAACAAGGAGGAGCACAGCCTGGACCTCAAGCCAAGGAAGCTTCATTCCCTGGTCATCAAGGAGCTCCTTACCTTGGCGTTCCCCATCCAACCGCCCCCATGGGCGCCCCCCCTTTGGGAGTTCCCTTGGGCACCCCACACAGGGGGGCTCACCATAAGGGTCCTCCTCCAGCCCCTGCTCCAGCTCCTTATGGTGGAGACCCTCCTCTCCAAGAGGACGAGGGTAAAAACCAAAACATGGAACATGAGAGTCATTTCTGTGGTAATTCCAGAGTACCTCCTCCCAATCAATGGGACGAAAAAATTAAAGAGGTGCAAAATCAGCTAAGTGACGTCTTCAACTCCATGAAGGCGCAGGGCCCTGAGACAGTAGACTTCCTCGTAAGTCAAATTGACACACCTTTCAAACTTGGCTTAGCGAACTATCCATTCCTCCAAAAGTTCAAGATGTCATCCATTGAGACCCTTGATGGTACAAAGGATCCGTTGGACCACCTTGAAACTTTTAAAACCTTGATGCAACTGCACAACATCCCAGACGAAATCATGTGCAGAACGTTTCCAACCACATTGAAGGGATCCGCTAGGCAATGGTTCGCCAAACTCTCCTCAGCCTTCATTGGCACATTTGCTAAGCTGAGCAGGTCTTTCATGTCACACTTCATTGGAGGACGCCGCCACCAAAAGTCTGTCACCCACCTGCACAGCATAAAGCAAGACCGAGATGAAAGCCTGAGGAGCTACCTCACTCATTTTAACGAGGAGGTCTTTCAGGTCGAGGAGCCTAATAATAAGGTGAGCATGACCGCCTTCCTAGGGGGCCTCCAGTCATCAAGTTTTCTTTTCTCTGTAATGAAGCGCCTACCGAAGAGTATGCCAGAGTTGCTGGCGAAGCCCAGAAATACATGAATGCCGAGGACATTACAAGGGCCAGACAAGGGGAGTCCTCTAAAGTTGGAGAGAAAAGAAAAGAAAAAGGCAGAGACGATAAGAAGGAGAATAATAACAAGCGTAACAGGATGGAGAGAGTGCCTACCAAAGATCGGCTCGGTTCTGCTCCCCAGAGAGATCGACAAGCCTTCACCCCCCTCAATGTTGCCGTCGGGCACATCGTATTACAGATCCAGGATGACTCCGCAATAAAGTGCCCTAGGAGAATGAAGTCTCCCCCAAATCGAAGGAACCCAAACAAGTATTGTCGCTTCCATCGCGACCATGGTCGTGACACCGATGATTGCTATGACAAAAGTCAGATTGAAGAGCTCATTTAACGGGGTCACCTACGCCATTATGTTATTGGTAGGGGACAGGCGCCAACACTACCCCGTAATCAGGAAGACCAACAACCTATCGGAGAAATTCACACCATCTCAGGAGGGCATGCAGGAGGAGGAGAATCCCTCTCCGCTATGAAGGTTCATGCCAGAAAAGATAAGCACCCCGAGGAATTGCGTCCATCCAAGGCGCCCAGGTATGGCAATAGTGAGGTCATATCCTTCTCAGACAAAGATTTGGAAGGGATCCAGCACCCCCCATGATGACCCTCTAGTGTTCACCATGACAATCGCTAACTTACAAGTACGAAGGATTCTTGTGGATAGCGAAAGCTCTGCGGATATCTTATTCGCAAAGACATATGACAAACTCAACTTGGGCAGAGAAAGATTGCAGCCCATCAGGTCGCCCCTTATTGGGTTCTCAGGGGAGAAGGTGTATCCCCTAAGGTCCATCACCCTACCTATCACTACCAGAATGACACCCTGCATCTCCATGATCATGGTCAACTTCTTGGCCATAAATTGCCCTTCTGCCTACAACATTATCCTAGGGCGACCAACTCTCAACACCCTAAGAGTTGTGCCCTCCACCTACCATCTTATCCTCCGATTCCCAACTTTGAACGGAGTCGGAGAGATCCGAGAAGATCAAGTAGCTGCAAGAGAGTGCTACGTCTCCTCAATGAAGACCAGAAAATCACAAGAAGCATTGCAAGTGGAAGTCCTTGACCTGCGACATGATGTCAAGTTAGAAAGGGGAGAACCAGTAGAAGAGCTTCGATTAGTGGTCCTAGATGAGGAATATCCGGACCGAAAGGTATACATCGGCTCTTCCTTTTCTGAGGATTTGGTCCACCAGCTCATGGACTTTCTAAGGTTCAATATGGACATCTTTGCATGGTCACATGCAGACCTCGAGGGTATTGACCCTGAGGTCGCCACACACCGCCTCAATGTCGACCCTCACCACAAGCCTGTTCACCAAAAACTAAGGGGTGCCTCCACTGAAAGGCCCCAAGCGATGGAAAAAGAGGTAGGAAAGTTAATAGAGAACGGAGCAGTC